TGATTAGATTAGGAAAGCTATAAACTCATCAATGGATTAAAAAATTTAATGAATGGATAATTTGGGGTTTTTTTGTTGTTTTTGTTGTTTTTTTTTATTGGTTGTTCAAAACATTACAGAGCTCATGACATATCATCTTTCATACATTTGATTCAATGAATGGATAATTTGAATGGACTCCTTAGTGGTAACCATAGGCAGGTGGGCCACAGCTGAGAAGTGGCCTTGAATTATATCTTGTCCCTAGCTTCTGGCTCTCTTTCTGCTTCCCAGATTCTGTGAACTGAGTATCTTCCTACAACATGCCCTTCTGCTAAGTTATTATTCCTCTCCTCAGGTCTAGAGCAATGGAGTTGGCCAACTATGGGCTGCACCTCTGAAATCATGGGCTAAAATTAACTTTTCTTCCTCTAAGTTGTTGTTCTCAAGTGTTTTGTTCACAGGGATGAAAAGCTCACTGACATACCAGGCTTGTACTTAAAATGAAGAGTATGCTCACCAAAAGCAAACATCTTCCCTTCAGAATGAGTTACATATCTTGAGTCTATCTGAAAACAGCTGTTTGGAATTAATTATATACAAATGAATCAGCATAAGAGTCTACGTATTGATGAACATGCCCACTTACATGTGCACACAAAGGTATCACAGGTAACTCACAAGTCCAGCAGTGGTCAATGGTTGGTTGTAGTGACCAGCTCCCTCTCACTCAGTTGTGAATGAACTTTCCCAGCAGTTGCCCTGACTGCTGTTCTCTTTGTCTTCCATGTGAGATCTTTGTCATATGTTGAGTCTCTTTTGCACCCCTGTTTTACACCAGCTTCCCTCATAAGCTCTTCAGAGATATAGTATTAATTGCCCAGAAATGTCAGTCTGCAAATGCTCCAATATCATTCTTTAATGAATAAAGGCCTCATTGTTTGTATTTCTATTACTTTAGCTACTTCAATTTCTATTTTTATTGCAAAGATCTGTGCAAATAAAAGAATATCAAAAGACATGGCTATAAATGTGCTCTGCTAAATTCCCTCTGCCTTGAAATGCCTTGAACTGAGGCTGCAAGATGCCTACTGCATTTTAATGCCTTTTGTACAAGGCAACATGAGAGGGTAGAAACAGGGCTGGCTTGAATCCTGCTCCCCTGTTCACCAGTTTTGTTACTTCTCTGAGCCTCGGTGATGGTAAAATGTCAACAACAATGTCATGCTCGCAGCTTTGACAGAGGAGTAAATGAGATGAAGTATGTAGAGCACAAATATTATACCTAGGAAATCATGGAAGCTCGGTAAATGTTAGTTTATTTTCTCCAGTCTACAGCAGCAACTAGAGGACACTAGGGTGTGCACAAATGTACACTCATTTGAAAATGTACTACAATTGAGAGAATTATAAACTAGAAAGAATAAAGTTGGATTTCAAGGAAGCAGATAAAGCCTTAATGTGAAGTTTACGAGTGGGGGCCAGTTGGTCATACCTGTAGGTGGCTATGATGTGGTTTCTGAAATTCACTACAACTGTAACCTCTGTTCAGCTCCGTGGTGTTATAGAAGGGACTATACCTCTGCCTCTAAAGGCATAGGCTGTGTGATTCACAAGAAATCACTGCAATATAAATCTGTTTTGTTATATTGCTTAAATTAACTTGACAAAAAAATTCTGCATATTGAAAGTATATGACTAGCATTGATCCCCTTCAATAGACAGAGCTATACTAGGAATATTTTTGTAAGAATGCCCAGTGAACACATAATACAGAAAGCCTAATTTCCTAACTACCAACAAGGAGATAGAGTTATTTCTACTTTGACATATTTTATGTGGTCCCAAGAGTATTCAAGTTACATCATAATCTGATATCACTTCTGAAGCTATCAGACAAAAGGTTCCCTAGAATCTATACTTCTTAGTTCCATAAAGCCAGGAAAATAGAACAGATGGAACAAACATAGAGAAGAAAAATCCAGCTCCTCAGAAAGTAAGAGCTCTAGGCTAACTTTGATATGCATGCTGGTTCCATTTGTTGCTAGAGGACCCCATCTCTAAGATATAAATACAATGGAGGAAGAGAAGCAGCTTAGATGGTAGTAAGTTTTCCTGGAAAGAAGAGACTTTGTAGTCAGACCAACCTTGATAATTGTCTTTTAGCCATGAGCTTCATATCCTCAGTCTTCATTTAGCAGAACAATAAAAGCTATTATTCAATATTCTTTGAAGACTTTGAGATATTATGGTGCCTATTACACAGGCACTGAAAATAAATTCACCTCAAGTACCAGCTCCTATAGTTTGTAGTGGTTCTCTGAAGTTCTGGGTTAAGAAGGATTCTGAGACAAAATCTAGGATTATTGGGAAAGAATCTGTAATTGATCAGTGATGTCTTTCTCTGGGCAGAAAACTGAGTAAGTAAAAGTTTGTATCAATATATTTGCTATGTAAGTGTTCTATAAATTGTAAACTATTATGATGATCACTGCTGTTATCACAAGACATTTTTATATCCTGCATCAAATGGCTAAATTTCTACATCTTCAACAAAAAATGAAATCAATTAATGACTTTGACTATAAATAATGGTATATGGAATTTTTATTAATTTTTTGGTAGACTTTTATGTGTTTCATCCATTGAAAAGAACCGAAAAGTGAAATCAGAATTTGGTATTCCAAATTTTAGTGTATAAAATGTCTCCTTAGGAAAAAAAAATCTGATATAGTTACTAAAGGTAGAATGTTTTTGAAAGGTAAAAAGAAGAAGTGATCTTGAGGTGTAGTCTCACATTATCATAAGACATTTGCACAGCATTCCATATTGTCTTTAAAAATAGTCACACTAGGAAAAATCTGCAGCATGTTTTGCTCTAAGAAGCTCCAAGACTTTGTCCTGTCTTTTCACTGCAGTGAGATTTCTCTTCTGGGTAAATAGTCATGTTCCTGTCAACCATCAGGGGACTTTTCAAATCCTGAACAGCTGATTTTATATTCTTCCCTCATTCCCTTACATGAGAACAGCAAGCTGATCAAACCCATATTTTTAAATTAACGTATTTATAGGCGTATGGAAGAATAGTTTACAGTCCTTGTTTGATTTCCCCACCACCACAAATGGAGGAAAATTGTGGTGTTTGGTGTTTTCTTTTTGAACGCAGCCTTATCATTTTCTCTCTTTTTTTCTTTATTACTGATGACTTCATTCTACTTGAATTCAGTGCTTCAGTTTCTTCAGGGTAAACTAATAGATTATGTATGCGATGTTTGCACCGCGTTGATTGAACTCATCTGGTGAGTTTGAACGCAGCTTGTGCGTTCCTGTAACTGGCAGGAGCTTGTGCATGGGATCCAGCCACCACAGTCATCTCATGTTACTCCGGAGCAAAGGAAGCAGTTCAGAATAGATGGCGCTACCTTTCCTGCCTACCTGTGCTTCAGAGAAGCTAAGCAGGCCTTCTTGTGTCTATTGTTATCTCTTTCAACTGCACAAAGAAAACTTTTATTTAAGAAAGGTGTAGTAAAGAAAGAAAATTAGAACTATTTCGAGAATTTTAGAATACATATTGAAGAAAATTAAAAGGGTGTGATTCCTAAGGATTTGTTGTTTCTTAATCAAAACATGGGCTGAAGAGTATCTATGGAGCACAGAAGAGCCCCAAGCCCGCACCAGAGAGGGTCATGCCTCCCTCAATTTGCCATCTAGCTCCAAAAAATGCTTTCCCTCCAAAACCTGTTACTCCCATTTCCCTTTTTAAAATTTGTATGCTGGGCTGGGGTTGTGACTCAGTGGTAGAGTGCCTGCCTGGCACGTGTGAGGCCCTGGGTTCCATCCTCAGCACCACATGTAAATAAATAAAATAAAGGTATTGTGTCCAACTACAACTAAAAAATAAATATTTTAAAGAATTTTGTATGCATAATTTTAAAATACTTCAACAAAATAGATGACTACTTTCTAATGCTTTTAGAGATCTTATTTTTTTATCAGAGGCCTCATTTAAATTTAAAACTCAACTGTAATATTCAGGGACCTTTCTGGCATGCAAGACTCCTCACACTGGGCCCTGTGCAAGCTTCCTCTGATCTTCTTACCCTGGCTCTTCCCCAGCTGGAGCAGTGATCCTCACCTGCCTGTGAAACAGGCGTGTTTTTTTGCAATTGAGTTAAAGTACCCAGATTTGCCAGTCGTACTTTGGTCATTTTTATTAGTATAAATTCTAAATATCTCTACACTAAATCACCAGTGCCATTACTCACTTTTATTCTAATTTGCTTTCTAAATGAGACAGGGAAGAGAGCATGTATCATTTGATGTGTGGATGGGAGGATGTGGAGGGGCAGGTCGGGTGATGAGGTACTGGACAGCGGTGAGTCCTGGGAGGAAATAGTGGCTAAGGTAAATAGGAGAACCTTGGACAGGTGCCATTCAGCTGTCACCCAACCCCACTACCCTTTCTTTTAATTTTTTGGCATGGCTTTTATTTTCTTTACCTGTGCCCTGACTGGTATTCATCTATTGACGTGTATCCCACCATCAACCACCCCCATTCCCAAAATTCCCACGTCTATTGGAATGAACAGTGGCACATGCCAGCCCCACATGATATCCAGCCTTCAGGTCACACAACCAGAACTTTGTCCCAAATAGACAATGCTTGTTTGAGAAAATGAGATACCCATGTTGAAATTTAACCAAATTCTTGTGTGTATGATTATAAGAAGAAAGGGTTGAGTTTCTTTAATTGCTCTGAAAGGTCAAGACTTTGTCTTACCTTCTCATTCCAAAGGCATTTATTAATGCCAAGTCAGATATTTTGACCCTTGGAGCTAAAGGTATGCATGCAAGGGCCATTTTGTGTTCATTTATATTACTTATTTCACCATTCTCCTAGCATATTTGAATTACATTATCCAATCTTTCCAATTTGGATCCCATCCCCTTTAATAAGAAGAACAAAAAGTGACTTTCAAGGATGATGTGACTGTGTGACTCTGTTTGTCTTTGTGCTATAGTGGCCGTCCCATGGGTGGGAGCACTGACCGAATCCAGAAGCTGCGGAAGGAGTATTATCAGGCTCGGAGGGAAGGCTTCCCACTATATGAAGACGAAGAAGGAAGAGCTAGGCCATCTGATTATGACCTTCACTGGGTAAGCCCATGCCTGACTCCAAGCATGCATTTATTTCTCTTTACCAAAACAATATACAGCAGAAAGTGGTCAAGAATGCTCAGTGCGTAGCAGATTGCATTCAGTTTTCTTGAGCTTTATAGACATGAACATGATCCAAAACAGCCATCTTCTCCCACTGAAGCTGTTTACATGAATCAAACCTCACTAATGTATGTGCTGATTCTTGTTGCTCTCATACTACTTCCTGTGGTATACTCACTGGTTTGGGGAGGGCACTTTAAAGAGGACAGGGGATCTCTGTCACCATCCAATGAGCCTCAACTTACCCTAATTCTCTTTGACCTCAGGCATCTGGGCCAGCATTAGTAGACTTTGCTACAGAAGCCATCTCTCTTTTGAAAAATGGTTATTAGAAGTAAATTTCAGAAATGTTATTGTCGGAGATATCAATTGTTTGCAGATTGGATCTGAGCAATTCACATTCCACTGATCTTACCTGTATACTAGGATTGTTTTGTTTTGAGATAAGGGCAGTTTTTTGTATTAGAGGATTCGTTTCACCAAATCCTTCAACATTCAGGGAACAGAAAAGAATATTGCGACCACTGAAGAGACACTCTCCAGGTTTTCTCAAGGTAGCACAATTCATTTTCTTGTCTTTTTCAAGAAGGTAAGTCTATGCCTACCAAATACACTTAACTCTTGAGCATCCACAAAAATGCCCAGAGGAGGGTCCTTAGAGTTGGATTACATGTACCTGTCAGATACTTAGAACGGTACCTGACACAGAGCCAGTGCTCAATAAATGTCAGCTCTCGTTCCTAACATTATTGGAGGTGAGCTGAACACGGTTGTAATAATGTCCTTGCTGTGATTCATTCTCACACACCCTCTTTGATGCTTACTGCTTTCTACTACAGTTTTTAGTGCCGTTTTGAGAACCAAGTAAGGAAGTCTGTCATCCCTGATGCCCACTAAAGACACCAGATTCTTTGAAAAGCAAATCTATTAAAGTTTCCTCTCCTGAATTGCATACTGATATTTGTGCTCCTAAGATCAGAGTTGGGAGTCCAGTGACAGTGCTGACCCCCCCGCTGGTTTTCACTCCTGTGATGTAGCACATCAGGTGTGGCTTGTGGTTTGAATGGTGATTTCAGGATCCACCACCACAGAGACCCCTCAGCCCAGGAGATTCCTCCTCATGGATGGAGCTTAAAAACACTCACCAGAAGTATAGGATGAGGACCCCCAATCCCAAGCAAAGAGGTGCCAGCCTCTTTAGAGATAGGCATCCCCAGACTATAGATCAGAACAAATAGCTATTTATTGGTTTTATTCCAGATGTTACAATTGAACATAATGACATCCGTAGCGATGGGTCAACTTGTCTCTTAGAACTCCCAGTAGCAGAAGAGAAAGAGTTCCACAGAAACAGATTAAATGACAATCACTGTATTTCAAACTTGATGGACATGGGTGAACTGCCTTTGCAAGAGATGTGAGCCACTTGGTAGGGGAGGCTGTGCTCCTTCAGCCAGGCTAAGCAACCACAAAGGAAAGTTTTTTTTCCACTCTGACCAAAGCAGCATCTGTCCAGTGCATCAGGGAGTGCTCCACCACAGAACCACAGAAAACCCCTCCGAGCAAAATAAGACAAGTAACTTTAGATTACGCAGTCCTGAGGGTTTTAAACTTATTTTATATGATTTCTTTAATTTGAGCTGAAAGGATGAAGATGCTTAACCTTCACGAGACTGAGGGGGTTTCCTCTGGCCCTCACTATGAGCGAGCGGAACCACTTTCCCTCGGGTGTTCCCTTTTTTAGTGATTCTATTTTTATGCCAAGCAAATGTATAACCAGACAAGCTGGAGAGTAAGAAGCATCTCCGTTTTAATCTGTGTTTCCCATGCTCCGGTGTGTTGAGCTTTGCCAAAAGTGAGTGAGTTTATGCTTCCCAGACAATCAGGGGCTGAGGCTTCCCAAAGGGATGCTTGGGAAATGCTCTGTCATAAAAGACAAGTGTTCTTTGGGATCTCCTGAGATGCTCCAAACCTGGGATTAGAATCTCAGCGTTCTTTCCTCTCCCCTCCCCTTGCCAAGGAAAAACACTAGTATCTTTTGTCTAGCACAGCCCTGAGAAATTACACCATTGTTTTGCTCTTTTGGAAAGATCTAGGAAAGCAAGTTTAGAAAGTTAACATTTCATTCCTGCCCTGGCAGCCAGATCCAACAAAGCAGCTTTCATGAGACTGTACTTTCTGGATGCATCCCGTCCCCAGCATCACAGGGGTACTTGTTAAAATCAACAGTCCATGAAGGGGAGGGATAGACCCTAAGAGAGGCCTCCAGGTACTTCTTTGCATTGCCAACAAGGATTCTGCCCCAAATTATAAAATTTGGACCTTGATTTTTATCACTTCAGTAAGACACCAAAGTAGTCCAAGTTTGTAACAAAACTATCTCCACCGTCATTAATCAGAAAAACTCTGATGAACTTAGAACTCCCCAGTCTAGTGTCTCAGGTTGAGAGGCTTGATGAATGTTTCCCATACTTTTCTGAGGGAACTTCTGAGCTGTCTAGAAGGAAAGTAGCAAGGTAAGTTACCTGACAACTATGGTTCTCCCTTGTTATCCTCAAGGGAATTGGTTGAGGAACCCTACACATACCAAAATCTGAGATACTCCAATTCCTCATATAAAACAGTTATAGTATTTGCATGGAACCTGTAAATGTCCTCCTATGTACTTAAAATCATCTCTAGATTATAATAGCTAATACAATGTGAGTGCTATGTAAACTGTTGCACGGTGCTATTTAGAGAATAATGAGAAGGAAAAGTCTGTATGGGTTCACACAGATGTATTTTTAGAAGATTCTCAATCAATGGTTGGTTGAATCCAATGATGCAGAACCCACAGCTATTGTCAGTCAACTGTACTCTTAAACTAGTTTAAAAATAAGCCATATAAAAATTAAAGTATGCTCATAAAAGTCTTTGAAGGCAAAATGATGAAACCAATTACTTAAAAGCTTATTAGGACCTATGACTATTTGTTTTTAGTCTTAATATATATTTCTTTTTAAATTTTTTTAAATTTAAATTTGTTATATATGACAACAGAATGCATCACAATTCATATTACACATTCAGAGCACAATTTTTCACATCTCTGCTTGTACATAAAGTAGAGTCACATCCTTCGTGTCTTCATACGTATACTTAGGGTAATGATGATCATTGCATTCCACCATTTTTCCTACCCCTAGGCCCCCTCCCCTCCCCACCCTCCCCTTTTCCCCTTTGCCCTACCTAGAATTCATTTAATCCTCCCATCTCCCTGCCCCCCAGAAACATATTATGAATCAGCATTCTTAAATCAGAGAAATCATACAGCATTTGGTTTTTTGGATTGGCTAATTTCACTTAGCATTATATTCTCCAGCTCCATCCATTTACCCGCAAATGTCATGATTTTATTCTCTTTTAATGCTAAATAATATTCCATTTTAAACATATATATATGTGTGTGTGTGTGTGTGTGTGTGCGTGCATGTGTGTGTGTCACATGTGCTTTATCCATTCATCTATTGAAGGGCATCTAGGTTGGTTCCACAATTAAGCTATTGTGAATTATGCTGCTATAAACATTGATGTGGCTGTGTCCATGTAGTATGCTGTTTTTAAGTCCTTTGGGTATAGACCAAGGAATGGGATAGCTGGGTCAAATGGTGGTTCCATTACCAGTTTTCCAAGGATTCTCCATACAGCTTTCCATATTGGCTACACCAAAAAAATAAAGTACTTGGGAATCAACTTAACAAGAGAGGTGAAAATTTCTACAACAAAAACTACAGAATGCTAAAGAATAAAGAAGACCTTAGAAGATGGAAAGATCTCCCTTGTTCTTGGATAGGCAGAATTAATATTGTCAAAATGACCATATTACCAAAAACACTATACAGATTTAATGCAATTCGAGTCAAAATCCCAATCACATTCCTCATAGAAATAGAAAAAGCAGTCATGAAATCATCTGGAAAAATAAGAGATCCAGAATAGCTAAAGCAATCCTTAGCAAAATGAGTGAAGCAAGTGGCATCACTATACCAGACTTAAACTATACTACAGAGCAATAGCAACAAAAACAGCATGGTATTGGCACCAAAATAGACTTTTAGATCAATGGTACAGAATAGAGGACACAGAGACTAACCCACATAATTACAGTTGTCTTATATTTGACAAAGGCGCCAAAAATGTACATTGAAAAAAAGATAGCCTCTTCAACAAATGGTGCTGGGAAAATCGGAAATCCATATGAAACAAAATGAAATTAAACCCCTATCTCTCACCATGCACAAAACTCAACTCAAAGTGGATCAAGGACCTAGGAATTAAACCAGAGACACTGTGTCTATTAGAAGAAAAGTAGGCCCTAATCTCCATGATATCAGATTAGGCCCCAACTTCCTTAATAAAACTCCTATAGCACAAGGATTAATATCAAGAATCAATAAGTGGGATGGATTTAAACTAAAAAGCTTCTTCTCAGCAAAAGAAACAATCAGTGAGGTGAACAGAGAGCCTACTAATTGGGAACAAATTCTTACCACACACACGTCAGATACAGCACTAATCTCTAGAATATATAAAGAACTCAAAAGTCTTAACACCAAATAAACAAATAACCCAATCAATAAATGGGCCAAGGAACTGAACAGACACTTCTCAGAAGAAGATATACAATCAGTCAACAAATATATGAAAAAATGTTCAACATCTCTAGCAATTAGAGAAATGCAACTCAAAACTACTCTAAGATTTCATCTCACTCCAGTCAGAGTGGCAACTATCAAGAATACAAACAACAATAAGTGTTAGCGAGGATGTGGGGGGAAAGGCACACTCATACATTGCTGGTGGGACCTATGACTATTTTTTAAAAAGAAGCACATTCTTTCTTAGACTAGTTAGGGTTCTTTCTTTGGCCTTGCCTGGACTTCCTAGACTTTCCC